CCATATGGGCACCGGTTCTAATCCTGGCAACCCCACTTCCCATCCAGCTCCCTGCTTGTGTCCTGGGGAAGCAGTCGAGGATGGCCCAAAGCCTTGGGACCCTGTACCCGGTAAAAGACCTGGAAGAAGCTCCTGGCTCCAGGCTCCTGGCTTCAGATTGGTGCAGCTCCAGCCATTGTGGTCACTTGGGGAGTAAATCATCCGACAGAAGATCTTCCTCTCTGTCTTCTCTGTCTCTCCTTATATATATATATATGACTTTGCAATAAAAATAAATAAATCTTTAAAAAAAAAAAAGTGGAGTAGCTGAGACTCAAGCCGATACCTGCATGGGATACTGACACTTCAGGTGGCAACTTCACTTGCTATGCCACAGCACAGTACCCATACTGTTAATTTTAAGCATTGATACCTCATGATACCTGAATCAGTTCTGAACTGATTTGATTTATTCCTCAAGTGAAACTTTACAGCTATTATTTTCTCTTCATGATCATCATATTATGTAGGCGTTATTATTTCTGTTTCACAAATGAGGAAACAGACCTAGAGAGTAAGTGGTAAAGCCAGAACTAAACTCAGGGCAATCTACTAGCACTGAGGTAAATAAGTAAAGCTGCTGCCTGTGAAAACTGGTACCCAATATGGGTACCAGTTCATGTTCTGGCTGCTGCATTTCCAATCCTTTTCCTGCTATGACCTGGGAAAAGTAGCATAAGATGGCCCTGATGTTTGGCCACCTGCCACCCAGGTGAAAGACCTGGACGAGTCTCCTGGCTCCTGGCTTCAGCCTGGCCCAGCCCTGGCCGCTCTAGCCATTTAGGGAGTGAAACAGGGTCAATGATTTCTGTGTGTGTGTCTGTAACTCTGAATTTCAACTAAATAAGTAAATCCTTAAAAAGTAAAATAAAACCAGTAAGGCTAGCTCCAGGCCCCCATCTTTAAGGTGCTCTACAATTACACGAAATGTATTGTTGTATTAATTGCTATCCTCTGAAGCATACGCGCCACTCTGGTAGGATCCACAAGACAGCTTCTCTGAGTCTTAGCATCAGGAGAAGCTATGGGACTCCCTTCCAGCCAAAGTTGGTGGTTTGTGTCTCTGTGACCTTATCTAATCCTGACTCTGTAACTGCCCTGCCCTCATTTGTCCTTTGCCCGATCCTGTAATTATTTATTTCATCTGTTTTTTGCTGTTGCATTTTTTTTTTCTGAACGGTCACAGCTCTTCTATGGAATGTGGTAGGGAATAAACACATAAATAAGTGAAATTAACTTTTCCAAGCCTTCCTGAAATTAATTTATCCATTGCCAGGAAAATATCATTTAAAATATCAAATCCTTCTGTGTAGCCCCAGTCATGTAACTAGTGACTCACTTTCCACATCCTCATTTCTCTTACAAAGTCATGTCTGTGTTAACTAGGGAAAGAAACGAAAACACCACCTATGTCTTTCAGTTTTCTACTTAAAATGCCAGTATCTCTGGAGACGCATTCCAGAGGTTTCCAGGCCATGTCTGACCTAACTGGGCCGTGGAAGAGACAGGATTCAAGCCGCGATGTGTCCAGCCAGAACCTAAGCACAGAGTCAATGAACTGGTTGGGCTGTAAATGAGTGGAGAGACGGAAAGTCCTTGGCTCTATTGGTAAGAATCAAGACCAAGAATCCAGTCTGAGAGAGGGGTGATGGCAGGACAGGAGCTGGTAAGGGAAAAAAAAAATGAGGTTAGAGTGTAAGAGTACAGAGGCCTCCAAGTCTTCGAAGGGAACAGACAGGTGCTTGGCGCACAGGCCAGCATGGACTCAGCAGGCTTCCAGGACCCCAGGCTTGTCGGCTCCTCTTGTTTCATCTTGCCCCACACACCTTCCATCACTCTATGAGTTGTTAGTTGTAATTACTGATTAGCTACTTAATGATCCCCAAATATGCTCAACTATCTTGCATTCTTTTATGCTGCTCCCTTCCACCTGACAAATATCCATACTAGTTTTCCCATATTCTGCCTACATAGCTTCACCATGAAGCCTTTTCCTACCCTCACTCATTTGCCATTCCCTGCCAATGTGCCCATTGCCACATCTCCCTTGACCTTCACAGCACTGCTAAGCCCTGTGGTTCTCTGATGTAAGCTGTATAATATATGTCACATAACGGTGCTTTCCTAAATCAAATTCCGGTGGTCCAAAGTTTTCTGTGTAGGGTGTGCTTAGCAACTCCATGTGTAACAGAAATGAATCAATTCCTTAATATTTAGGTGCAAGCAATGTCACTCTGCCATTGTTTTCGTCCTTGCTGTCTTGCCATGGTGGCAGGATAGCCCATGCTTAGTTGCATCTTGGAAGGGTGACCAATTAAATCAGTATGCCCAGAACCAAGGGGTTTCCTGGGACACTAGCTTTGCAGTGCTAAAAATGAGCAAATCAGAACAGCTGGTGAGTCTAAGCCAAACATTGGATGACAAGCCTTCCTCCTTACTGAGTTATAAACCCCAAGAAGACATAGGATGTTTCAAAGGAACCTCTTTGTCCCCTGTCTAGTGCTTAGAACACAATAGACACTCAGCCCATTCTTAATCCATTTAAAAAAACTAATCCCAAATGCATGCATGCATCCCAGTGTAAAAATATATACATAGGGCCCGGGGCGATAGAACAGTGGTTAAAGTCCTTGCCTAGAAAGCACCGGGATCCCATATGGGCATCAGTTCTAATCCCAGCGGCCCCGCTTCCCATCCAGCTCCCTGCTTGTGGCCTGGGAAAGCAGTCGAGGATGGTCCAAAGCCTTGGGACCCTGCACCCATGTGGGAGACCCAGAGGAGGCTCCTGGCTTCAGATTGGCTCAGCTTTGGCCATTGTGGCCACTTGGGGAGTGAACCATCGGGTGGAAGATCTTCCTCTCTGTCTTTCCTCCTCTCCGTATATCTGCCTCTTCAATAAAAGTAATAAATAAATCTTTTAAAAATATATATACATAAGTATTAGTAATGATCCAAACCCTACTTCCCTCCACATGTTGCCTAAACATCCCGGCTGTTCCTTCCGGTGTAACAGAAGCCTGGTCCTCAGAGCCTGGGGAAGATTCCACTCCCATCCCCCAACACATACACCCTGGCATCTATATAATCAATGTCCAGGTCAGTGAATTAGACAAGCATCAAGCAGACTGTGCACCACACTTCAAATCTCTTCTTCAGGAAGACAGCACATCCCCAGGTACAAAAAAAAACAACAACATTCAGAAAGCATCAATCACTAAAATCCCCATAAAGCTCTTTATGCAAGGCCATTCATGTGATATTTTGATTTTCCAATGCCCAAGTCACCTGCCTCCCCCTGCCAGACAAAAACAAAGGTGAGGAGACACAACACCTCCAGAACCTCCAGTTGTATGCGTCTCCACAAAGAGTCAGCCAAGGAGACCAGGCTGCCAGCAATGCCAGCATCCCCCATGAGCACCAATCGAGTCCCAGTTATCCATTTGGAGAGTAGACTGGTGGGTGAATGGAAACTCTATATTTCTGTGTGTATCTGTCTCTATCTTTGTCTCTCCCCACCTTGTAAATAAATGAATGTTTAAAAGACAGAGAGAAAGTCACCAGGAAGAGTACATAGCTGTTCTGGCACTGACAGAGTTCTGTGGCGACACTCAGGAGTGACAGGACCCCAGCCCCAGCCCAGCTCCTTCCCTCTGATGGTAACTGAGTCCTAGCAAGTGTGCTCTGCTTCACTGTGCACCTCTCCCTTGTCTCCCACCAAACACTGATACCCCTTTTTCCCTTAAAATCTTTTCTTCTTGTTTCCCCTTCCTCTTGTGTGGTTTCTTCTAACTTTCCCTGTAAATCAGTGTGTGTTATGTAGCAAGAATGCTGTCAGACTTGTGCCAGACCTGAAGGACGATCCCTCCCAACAAGAGGGATTTTTACAGACTCCGTTCACAGATGATTGCAGCAGCTCTGACTCCATAGTGCCTAGAGTTCTGTGGGTTTCCTTGAAAAACCACTGCAGAAAATTGCCTCATTCCCATGCCTCATTTAGCAGGGTGTGTCCACAGAATCCCCCTCAAGCTGGCTTTCTCGTCTCCTTGCCCACGCACTAACCTTGGTTAACACTGCACAGGCAAAGTGCCACCGCTGTTGATTCACACCCACTGCCCCTCCCCGGATCCGTGAGCCTTCCTGCTCCTGTCACTGGCTGTTCCTGTCCCCTACTTCCCCCTGTTGGACTAAGGCTCTTCCTCCCTGCTCCTTCCTCCTCCTCTTGTTGCAGGCTGCTTTGACCATCTTCCTCTTAACCCCTCTCTGGGAACCCTAGGGACAGTCCCCAGTCAGCCCTTTCTAACCTCAGTCTTTAGCAACCCAAGCAGACTTTAGAATGCTCAAAATGAGACACTCTTCTATTTATTTATTTAGAAAGGCAGAGTGACAGAGAGAGATCAGCCATCTGCTGGTTCACTGCCCAAATGCTACAACAGCCTAGGACGAGGCCAAGTCAAAGTCAGAGCCATTACACTCCATCTTTGTCTCCAGCGTGCTGCCTCCCAGGGTGTGCATTGACAGGAAGCTGGTTCAGAACCAGGAAGTAGGACTCCATCCCAAGCACTCTGAAATGGGAGGCTGTGCCAGTGCACTGGGCCCCACGTTCACCCTAACCATGCATTGTAAGTCTTAAAACTCCACTTTTACCTTGAACAATCCCTTAGCCACCTCTTGGTGAATACCAACTTCAAGTTAAAGGGCACTTCTTGACTTGTGTCTCTCTACGTTTAACCTTTCTGTGTACTCTCTCTGGCATACTCTGCCCCAAGGAGGAAGCATGTAGTATTATAAGCAGTAGTGGTGATTCAGGCAGGAAGTGCCTTCTCTCTGGCTCGCTTTCCCACACAAAGCAATGGGCTCAGACCCCCAGCACCCTTGGGAAGAGCTCAAGGGAGCCTAGGTTGCGATTGTTCCTCAAAGATGGAAGACACACCTGTGTCTCTCTCTGTCTCTCCTTGTTTCAGAAAAGAGAATGGCTGCTGATGGCTCAGGGGGAGCCCCTAGGCCTAGGACCCAGCCAGAAGGTCCCTGCCAGCACCTTCTATGTGATCATACCTTCCCCCTCCCTCTCACTGCTGGTCAAGGCAGTGGCCACGCGGGAACTGATACTGCCCAGCGCCTTTCCTCCACTCCCTGAGGAGCCACCCGATGACAGCCTGAAGATTGTGGAGGCAAGTAGAGCCCAAACGTGGGACATGAGAGAGGAGAAAAAGGCTTCCAGACAAGGATGGGTCAGGGGAAGAGTCCTGGGGGACAGAAACTTCCCAGGGGTGTGTGAGATGGTAGAAAAGGGGGTAGGAAATGGGGACCAGGAGAAGAGACAAACCCTCAGGTGACAGCAGCAGGGTGACAAACGGTGGACAGGGGAGGCCAGCTGCAGGAGATGAGGTGTGCAAGAATTGGGAAAGCAAAGGGCCATGGATGGAAGTGAACAACTGGAAATTAGTGCCATCCTGGAAGATCATGGGCTAACACAGGCCCCTGAACTCTGATGAACCAGAGCAGCAGGGGGAGCTGTGCTGGGGGAAGGCGCAAGGTCAAGGAAGGGAGAGCAGAGGACCAGCCAGGGGCAGCAGAGGCAGGAGATGAAGGGGGTGGGGACGTCGACGACACAGGCAGGCCCCACTGCTCCTGCAGCGTTGGGTTGGCTTGGTTTGGTCTTTGCAAGTCTACTCTGCCCCACCTTCCGTCTGCACTTGCACCACAAGGAAAAGGCTGCATGGGAAGGAAAAGGAGAGAAGAAAAGGGAAGGACAAGGCAGAGGAAAGGAAGGGGAAGGTGATGGAAAGATCTAAGTGTAAGGTTCCTGTGTCTCTGTGTGTTTCACACCTCTGAGGGGTGTGTGAGCTTGAGGGCAGCACGTCTCTGCCTCCACTTTCGCCTCACAATCAGGTGATGCTGTGTCCACACACGCGTGCTAACATGCTGTGTGAGACCTGGGCGTGTATGCATTTGGTTCTGTCAACAGAAAGAGAAAAGAACAGTCCAGTGTGCATGCTCCGAACAGGAGGGGCTTCAGCATGAGGCCCGGGTGCAAAGGAGCCATAGCCCTTCATGGTCTTCCCCTCCTACGCAGGCATTTCCCCTGCTGCTCTCCCAGGCTGAGGAGGGAAGGGCTCCGGGCTGGGGTGTTGCAAGCTGGCTGATTTACATGCAGAAAGTACCGAGCAAGGCTTGGCAGCTGCAGGATCACAGAAAGGTGGACAGAGTCTCACTTTGGGGCCAAGTGGTGCCTGGCACAGGATGTTGTGGCCGGAAAACCTGGCTGCTCAGGAATTCTGTGCCTCCATGTGCACTGGGCTTCCCTCGTAGGCGGGAGCTCATGTCCTGGCCTTGCACATGGCACCAGACTCAGACAGACACAACCTCCCTCAGCTGCCCTCCCTGGACCCTCATATCTCCTCATAGAACCCCTTACCACACTCTTGGCTCCTGCTGGCCTCCCAAGCACTGGGGAGCAGGGAAGGGGGGCCTCCCCTCCACCAGCCCAGCTTGAGGGGGGTGGTTCTTTCCTTGCTGCTGGCTGCAGTACAGACACACTCCCGCCCTCCTCCAACCTCTCCCAAGGTAGCAGCTGGGCCTGACTGCGGGCGTTCCGTGACTTCCAGACCCCTGGGTGAGGCTCCTTCTCTTCCTCCACAGAGCCTGCTGGACACCTTGGAGCTGGAGCCCACCTACAATCCCCTGCAGGTCTGCAGTCAACTCTACTCCCACCTGAGCAGCACCTTGGCCCCGCAGCAGGGCCGGCTCCCTCCAAGCTGGGGCAGCCGGGCTCTGGGAAAGGTACCACTCCCCTGCCCTTTGAAGCCTTTCTTGCTCCCTTTCACCCCAGGGTCCCAGAACACCCTGCCCCCCTAATCTTCACAGCTTCCTCTGAGCTCACTTTGCAGACTCCAGCCTTAGTGGAGGAGAAAACAGAGGAAATGACAGCCCCCCACTGGAGAGGGAGGTGTATACTTGGGCCTTACGCATGCTAGCGTTGGAATGTTTTAGCTGCCTGACCGTCTGTGGTAGCTCTTCCGCTTAACTGATCACTGTCCCACTAAGCAAACTGTCTGCACTGCTGACTCCAACCCCAGCCCTCTCCTTGCAATAGGAAGCTGTCAGGAAATAGGGGGAAGGTATGCTGGAGGAAGGACAAGAAATGCCCAAGGGAAGGGGCATAGTGGTAGAGCCGCCAGGTGTCAGGAGACTTTTACAGAGGTTTTTCTTCTTCAATCCCCACAGCATCCCAGCAAGGTAAGTGTTCCGCTTTTCTTATGCTTGAGGAAGGGGAGGCTGGCCCTGGGGGTGAGCTCCAGTGACAAAGGTAACTGAGTGCAGAAGTACTTTTTATGACTTCCATGTTTTGTGAGACGTGCAGCCTTCTTTGGGTGCTTGTTTTCCTTAGATTCTTGGTAACAGAGCCTTTAGAAAAGCATCCCTTTTGTCTTAGCTAAATGACACGGGGAAGCTATTTCTAAACTGGCCAATTGAGAAAGGAGTGGAGTCTACCATAAATTGGCGGGTGGCCCAGACCCAGGCGGGGAAGGAGGTAACCCTGAAAGCCGACTTAGGGCCTGGAGCTTCCCAAAGAGGATGTAGCTCGGTCTCCCCAGGACCAGAAGGTGCTACCCCAAGAGTGGAAGACACCTCTCACCAGTGAGCTGGTAGCAGGTTGCCAGATTAAGGGCACCAGGCCATTGGATGGCTCTGTGACAGTTGAGGCCCAAACCTGGGCCTCAACTGTCACTCCAGGAGGGGATAGGACACGGCAGGGATAGGAGCTCATGCCCCCTGGGCTTCAGAGAAGGCTCTGGCTGCTTTCTCTGCAGGCTGGACAGTTGCAGACCCATAGAGTTCGAGCCACCGTGGCCCCCCTGCCCGTGACAGTAACCACAGGCCGAGCCCCCAAGAAACCAGCAACCAGCAAGGCTTCCTCAGAAGCCATCATCCTGTCTTCTGAGGAGGAGGAGGAAGAAGAGGCTGTGTCAGGACCCTAAGTCAACAGCACCCAGAACCCAGCCACCCTGCGCATCCAAGTGCTCGAAGCTGTGGTCAGACCCAACGGCAAAGAATCTCACCTCTGCCCCCAGTGCTAACCCCATCCCTTGCTCCAGCAGAGCCCTCAACAGAGTTCATCTGGATGCACATTAAATACTGAATGAGCTCCCACTGGGAGCGAGCAGTGGCCCGGAGTGCTTGTAGCAGGGAATGGCTTGTGGCAGTTCTATATAAGCAGCCAGAGGTCAGCTCACCCTCAGGAAACTGGGCCCCAGGAACAAGGAAGGGGTTTTCTGAAAAACAAGAAGGGTTGAAACCCAAGCCTCCTTAGAGCTGCCGCCCTTCCTGCACCCCCTCCACACTGCACTTTCTCCAGCCTCCAGCCAGTCAAGGGCTTGGTTCCCACAAGCTCTGCCAGGAGCAGCTACTAGTTGCAAGGTGCTTCCTGCATACTGCGCATTTGCACCGAGTGCTGGAGAACATCCCTGTGACAGAGCCCATTTCACAGAAGGGCAGTGGGAGGCTAGAGGCTTCTACCCACAGTCCCAGGCTCAGCCTGGCCCTCCTGGGACCTTTGCCCCGCTCCGTGGACCCCTCCACTCCCACCCAGCACCCCTGGGTCTCCTCTGTCTATTCATACACACAGACCTCTGAAATCCAAGTTGACTTTAATAAGAATCTTTACATTTTAAATGTAAAGAACCATATAGGGTTAAGGCAAAGAACCACACAGGGTTAAGGATCCAGGCACAGTCCAGTAGTTAGCTGCCTTCAGCCTTCATACAGCACCCCCAAAACTGTCCCCTCTGACCAAGTTCCCCTTTCTGTGGACTTGGTCCAGCAACTGTCTGTTTCTTGAGGAGGGGCTGGGCTGACCTCCCTGGAGCCCATCATCCAGCCTTGCCAGCTAGTCCACTTCCCAGGACTTCCTAGGACGGATCCAGTTCCCCTGGACTTCCATCTCCAGTCCTCTGCTCCCCTGGGCTCACACTGGCTCTAACAGGTTTTTTGGTCCCCAGTGCCACCTCCCTTCCATTAGCAACCCCAGCTTTGCTGTGCTTATCCGGTGGAGCCCACCAACTGGAACTCAATCCTGGCGCTCCCTGCCCTAGACTGCCCACAGTCCTAGCTGCCCGAAGCTCCACACTTCTGGACTTGGCTATAGAGGACAGTGTCTGAGCCATGGCCTTTGCTGCCTTTGCCGGTTGTAATCTCAGGTTCGGGGAAGGCCGGGCCCTGGGTCTTGGGAGCCATAAGGGATCTGGTGCTCCGAGGAGGTGGCACAGCATAGTCATCAGTGGCAGGATTGTAGGGGAGCTCGTAGCCCTCCTCCTTCACCCGAGCTTGGCACCACCATGCATCCTTGGGCTCCTGTGGCACATCGTAAAGGCCCCGGGGAGGGGCTGGGGCTAGGCCTTCCGGCTCATCATAGATGGGGTCCTCTTTGGTGTCTGTCACTTTGGTCTTCAGCAACTGCTCCTGCACATGCTCATACAAGTCCCAGTAGAGACGTTTCTTCAGTTGTTGCCCTTGGCCTGCCCCAGCAGGAGCGCTGTCCAGAGGATCTGAATACAGGGAGTCCTGGGCAGGGCCTGGAGGCATGCGTAGGGAGTCTAAGGGCTCAGCATACAGGGCTGGGGGGCTGCCCAACAACTCCTGGGGGCCGGGAGGGGAAGCCAGCTTCCCCTCTGCCATCTCTCCTTCCTGAGAATCGGCTCGGAGAATATCGTGTGCCTGTCCTGCCTTTCCCTGGGCCTTCTGCCGGTGGATCGCACTCTCAACTGCTTGGAAGATATCATTTCCCTGTGCAGTCTGGAAGGTGAAAGTTCCAGGGCCAGAGGGGCAGCGGCGACCCGCCTCAAAAGAAAACATGACCTGTGGAGGGTGAGAAAGGAAGGAGATCCATTACCAGGATGTGGGGCACCTCAGGGCCTGAACTTGTTAGGGTACCTAGGAGGGAGTACCACCTGGTAGGGCTGTGGGGTCACCAGCAGAGAGCAGAGTCCTCCCCCCATCCTGCCCCACCTGCGTGGTCCTCCCAGCCAGCCCCTTCTCTCCCCGCACCTTGTCCCTGCCATAGCGACGCAGCAGAGTGTAGGGCCAGGAAAGAAGGGGCTCCAGAAGCTGATTCTGGGCCCCCACTGTCAGGAGAGTGAGCTTTTCGGGCTCCACCCTCAGCACGTAGGAGCCATGCAGCTCACAGCGCTCGGCAGCCTCTGTCCTTTGCACGGTGACCCAGAACTGGGACCCTGGAAGAAATGCACAGTTACACCAGCGTCCAGAAAAAAAAAAAAAAATGCCCAACAGGGCAGGGGCACCTAGAGGAGCAGTGTCCAAGCACTCACAAGGAAACCAATCTCAGACTTCCTACTCCGCCATGGGTCCCTGAACCCTCTAAATGCCAGCTTCCCACTCCATCCCCGACCGCGCTTTGCAGCACCTTCCCAGGTGGGGCTGTACAGCGAGTTCTCCAGCATCTTCAGCGCAGAAAGCTGCGGAGGGTTCTCGGCAGGCACCGGTGCCCAGCTGCCCTTCTGTTAGCAAAAAGAGATAAGAGCATCCGCTGCTGTGTAATTCCCTCAACGCTGCATTGGGGAGTCTTGAGTCCCCAGGTCCTCGTACTGCTGGTGGCTGCCCCCTCCTCTGTCCCACACCGACCCTCAGGTCGGGCCTCCTTACCGGAAAGGCGTTTCGGCACAGCAACTGCACCCAGGCGGCACTGGACGGTGCATCGGCTGCCAGCAGGTGCGAGCGCTGCGCCGTGTCCAGGCGGAAGGCAGTGGCGCCAGGTTCTGGGGGGCTCTCCACAGTCACGGGGGCCACGCTCACACATTCGGCCAGACGGATCACCTTGCAGTCCAGGCGGCGAGAGCCCCCTCGGCCACCTCCAGAGTTCGACCCCTTGTGGTCGAAGAACTCGAGGCGTGCGACCCCATGGGGGCTGGCCGGGTAGAGCACCGCCCAGGTCTTCCTCCATCTCTAGGGAGAGAGCAAGCTACACTGGGGAGGGAGCCGGTGTGCGCGGGTGGCCCAGGCCCTGGTGGGGAAGGAGGCAACCTCTCAAGCCGACTTAGGGCCTGGGGCTTCCCGAAGAGGATGCGGCTCGGTCTCCCCGGGACCAGGAGGTGGCACCCCAATGGAAGACGCCTCTCGCCAGTGAGTGGGGCAACTTGGCGGGCACGTCGTGGGGCTCTCCAGCTCCCGGTGCCCGACCCCCTCCCTCTTTCCGGGTCCTTTCACTCCCTTATAGTCCCTTTGGAGTCTGGCATGCCCGGCTCGCCTCCCCGCTACCTTAGTCCCGAAGCGCTGACTTTGCAGGAAGAGCGGCCCTTCCATCACCGCGCCGTCCATGGCCCCGGGCGGTTCTTTCCGCGCTTCCTGGCCCTGCGGACTGGAGGCGGAGCTGGGGCGGAGCCGAGCCTGCCGGGGGCGTTCCCGTCACCCCGCCCTCCCACCCGGACCCCGAGGTGGCGCAGGGTCGGGGCGGACGAGCCAGAAGGAAGGGGTCGGGGTTTCCAGGTCAGCCCGACAGCGCAGCTCCAGACCTCTGCCCACCCCTCTGGCGAGCACAAGTGGCTCCAAAGAGAGAAACCCGGATATCGGCCAAGCGGCCCTGGCACTCGGGTGCGGGGCTGCGTGTGACGTAATATGCCCAGGGTGACATCAGAGTGGAGGCCGTGACATCACTCCGAAAAAGCAGCGAAGGGGCCCAGTGGACCCTCAGGTCTTCTCTTGCCCTGGTAGACCCGCCCCCAGGCCAACCCGAGTGAATCTGTTTAATCTCGGCTGAGCTGGGCTCCAAGGCCAGCAGCTCGGCTGGGAGGTTTTCCGCCGCCCCGTGGCCATTAGCAAGTTCAGCTTCCTGACTGCAGTCCCCCGGGACCTGTAACCTTCGGGAGAAGAACGCTCCTTTGAGGCGGCCTGGGGGTCGGGAAGGGGGAAGTGGCGCTGGCGGTGGCCAGTTCCACGGGGGAGGGGAGGACCTAGAGGCGCAGAGGAGGGAACTGGCCGGGAGGAACGGAGAAAGCGGAATGTGGGAGGGCTCAAGGGGACGTGGGAGGGACGACCAGAGAGAGGAGGAGGGAGGGTCCGGTCGCCCCTGGCCGAGCACTTTTTTGGAAAGTCCTTAGAACTGCTCTGCAGGTCCAGAACTCTGCTCCCAGTGCTTGGGGCCCTGCTCAGCCAAAGGTAGGGGGAGACGGCTGCGGGCCCACCGAAGGAAGGGGTTTTGAGGATGGACAGCGTGGTGGAGGGGCCAAGAGACAAGGGGTGCTGTGGGGTGGGGCCGGGAAAAGCCAACCGTCTGGGAGTCTGGCTGTTAGCAAGCTGATGAGACACAAGGAGAGTGGGGACTGGATGTACATTCTGGGGGTGCAGAGTAGTAGGGAGGGGCCTGATGGGAGGGCTCCCCATGTGAGGTCCAGTCCCTGCCCCCCCTTTCAATGTCCCTGAACAAAGCTGTCTTGTTGAGTTGTTTGGGTTGGGGGAAGCATGTTCAGGGGCCCCATCGCTGCGGGAAGCTTGTTCTCAGGCGCACACGGAGAAAGCCTTGGCTGAGGAACCCTGCGGAGTCCAGGCCTCCTGTTGCCTGGTGACAGGCACCGCGGTTTTGGCTGGAGACTAAAACAGCTCCACCCTACCCAGCCCAGGGGGAGGCCTGGCTCCCCCTGGGGCCATTGACCCTCTGCTGCACAGCTGTACTGCTGGATCTTCCTGCATTCTGTGGTGTCTGCCCTTACTGCAATGGGTGAGGGGAACAGCCCAGATGGGGCTCAGGATGAACCCCAGGGGCCTGAGATCCAAGTCTCAGAGGCCCCACCAGCGGCCTGCCTCTCCCCACAGTCAGCTCTGCAGTCTGACAGCAGATTGGCTAAATGGGGTCTTCTGGGTCCCTCGGGTGCCTGCCTGCTGGCTCCTGTCAAGCCCTGTGTGTGGGCCTATGGATCCATTACCCACAGCTTCCTTGCCACTTCAGTGCAAACTGGAGCTCTGCGCTCTCTGGCTGTTTTGTTCCCACAGTCGCCTTCCCTCACATCCTGTCTGTCTGGGTATCTCTCTCTTTCTTTCATTCTCTCTCTGTCTTTGTCTTGACCATTCCCTGACTCTTGGTCTCGAATCACTGCCTTTTCATCTCTGGGTCTCTGGGGGCTATGGGAGATAAGTAGGCAATGGTGGCATAACTGGGTCAGGACGTTGTGGCTGTGACTGTAGACTTTGGTCCCTCAGCTTGGGTGGGCTTCACAACAACAGACTGAAAATGCTGGGGGCAGGGTGCTGGGAACTGCCTTGGTCCTGAACCCCGAACTATGTTTCCCCCCCAAAATATAGGCTGACCCTGTTTTCATAGTCCTTACACCACACTGGGTGTTGGGGGTAATCTAGAAATGATGCTAACACACATGATTCTATCTAAAGGACTTGAGCATCCATGGATTTCGAAATCCACCGACGTCTAAGAAGCTCTGTTGGGCAAATACCAGTAGGCAACTGTAATGGTGAAGGATTTATGCCATAGGAAAGGCAAAGGGAGCATCCCTCACTCTGTTCCCTCCCGTGGCTGTATGTCTGCATCTGTGACTCTGTGGCCCTGCCTGATCTGGTGTTTCTCTGTCTGTGTGTCTCTCGCTTTCTCCCTGGGCTGTCTTTGACTCTGGTCCTAGTGTGTTCCCCTCCAGGACTTCTCTACGCCCCTACCCTCGCTCTCAGCCCGGCCTCAGTCTCAACTTGTCTCACACCCCTTCTCTCTCTGGAGCACCCAGGCCTTGCCCGCCATGCGGCCCTTCCGTGTATGGCAGTGGATTCCCTGGGAGCTGTTGCTGTGCCTGCTGTGCAGCTCCTGCTGGGGGTCCCCATCTCCTTCCGCGGGCCCGGAGAAGCGGCCTGGCAGTGAGGGGCTGCGCTTCCGGCTGGCTGGCTTCCCCAGGAAGCCCTACGAGGGCCGCGTGGAGATCCAACGTGCTGGGGAATGGGGCACCATCTGTGATGATGACTTCACTCTGCAAGCTGCCCATGTCCTCTGCCGGGAACTGGGCTTCACAGAGGCCACAGGCTGGACACACAGTGCCAAATACGGCCCTGGGACAGGTGAGCCATGGTCAGGACAGAGGCTGGGTGCTGGTTGAGTGCAGGGAGACGGGATACCTGATGGCACAGTTGTAGGGACAGAGGACATCAAGAACAGCTGGTGTCAAAATCAACCCATTGGAAAACCCACCGACCACAATTGTTATTTCCCAGAACCAGATGAGCTTATGCTAGTCAGCGCTTTCACTAAGTCTGAGCTGCAGCGTGTGCACAGTGACTAGGTCATGTCTGAGTTCCCATCTGCTATTAAAAGCATGGCTCCACAAACAGCACATAAGGACAGCCCAGACGGCTGAGCCCTGAGTGACGGGACTCCAGGTGGGAGGCCAGTGTCCTGGCACAGCATGTTAAGCTGCTGCTTATACCATTGCCATCCAGCTCCCTGCTGATGCATCTGGGAAGCAGCACAAGATGCCCCAAAAGCCTGAGTCCCTTCCTGCTGAGAAACCAGACCAAAGGTCCTGGCTCCTAGCTTCAGCCTGGCCTAGCCCTGGCTGTTCCAGCCGTTTGAGTAGTACACCAGAACACAGGATGATTTCTTGCTCACTTTCAATCTCTGCCAAATAAATAAATGAATAAGAAGGAAGGGAGAGAAAGAACAATTTGGTGTGGGTTTCATGGGAAGCAGAGAATAAGTAAATACTACTGTCTGGATGACCTAAAGCATGCAGGGTCACAGACACTGCAGATAAGAAAGCCAGGCCACAGGCTAGAGCAAAAACCAGGAAGCTGAGCAAGAACAAGTCCAAGTGTGGATGGTGGGTACTTGCAGGCAGTTCCCACTGAGGCCTGCAGGGGTTCTCAGGATATGGACCTACAGGAGGATGGACAAACGGAGTGGGCACAACCTGCAGCACAATCCCCCAGTGCCCACAATCTAGATCACACCTGGAACCACTGTGTCACTTGTCAGAGCCATATTTAGGAGGGACAGTAGGAAACAGAAACACTTTCAGAGCAGAGCTGCCAGATGTGCATGACTCAGAAGCCAAGCCTCAAGGAGGACTAGGCAAAGAAAACAGTCTTTTGCAGAGAAAGGAAAATGCCTCACAAAGTGCCTTGGAACACTGGAGAGGCAGTCACGGAGGGGAGGGCTCTGTGATGGCACTACAGAACCGAATCAGTTTGGGGCTAACACAGCCAAGTCACAGGGCCTTTCTGAAAGTAAGACAGGGGCCTGGCATCCTGGCAGAAGCTGGTAATCCCACCAGGGTTTGGATGAGGGGAAGGATCCTGCACATTGTCTGGAATGGTGACCTCTGAGGCTCCACCCCGTTCAGAGAGGACATGGGTGGTATTGCCTCTGACTCAGGCTGGGAGAACAAGGCTAGATGGCAGCAGAGGCACGTGTTAGGCTGAGAGTGGGCCAAAGGAACCTGGACTGCCAGCTCCCACTAAGAGCTCAGGCTGCTAAGCCCCCCAGGGTCAGGTATGTAGTCATGGCCAAGTTACATAACCTCTCTGAACCCAGCTTCTTTACATAGAAGAGGGACTTCTGGCAGCTCTGTTTTAAGAATGGCTCTGTCCAGCTGTCGCAGCCACTTGGGGAGTGAACCAGCAGGCGGAAGATCTTTTTATCTGTATCTGCCTTTCCAATAAAATATTTTAAAAAATTTTTTTAAAAAGAATAAGCTCATGGCTTCACCAAACATTTGATTAATTGTAGCCATCATTGCATGGGCAAGACCTGACTGGGGCAGATGCTGGTTCCTGGCTTTTTATTCACACTATCGATTATTTGTTTGCTGAAGCCAGGAACCTGTAACTCCATCTGGGTCTCCACTTGAGCCATCTTCCCCTCCTTTTTTATTTTATTTATTTTATTTTTTGAAACATTTATTTATCTTTATTGGAAAGGCAGATACACAGATAGGAGGAGAGACGGAAAGGAAGATCTTCTGTCCGATGGTTCACTCCCCAAGCGGCCGCAATGGCTGAAGCTGAGTCAATCTGAAGCCGGGAGCCTGGAGCTCTCCCAGGTCTCCCATGAGAGTGCAGGGTCTCAAGACTTTGAGTCATCCTCCACTGCTTTCCCAGGCCGTGGCGGATGGGTGGGTGGGGGATCCTGACACTTGCAGGTGAAGAATTAACTAGTTGAGCCATTGTGCTGTTTCCCCATCTCCCCCACCCAGCTACACCCCACCCCACCCCCCGCCCGCCATGGCCGCCATCTTCCCCTTCTTTCCCAGGCACATTAACAGGGATCTGAATCCAAAGTATAGCAGCTGGGACTCCAAACAACTCTCCGACATTGGTTGTTGACATTGCAGACAGTGGCTTAATTCACTGGACCACATTGCTGCTGGGCCCCCTATC